TTAATGAGGTTATGGATAATATTACAGAGGATTTTGATAATATTCCTCAAACATTTGTTTTAAAACCATTAAATATTGTTAATATTGTTTTATGTGAAGCAGAAAACTTTTAGATACAGAATAGTCTTTCAAAAGTTCTCTTACTTTATGGGCAACTGTGGCGTCATTGAGGTTTTAATGATAAACGCGGGCTTGATGGTACTATTGGCCAGTGATAAAATTCCTTGAATATTGTTTTGGAACCACACATGAAAGTTCCATGAGATATTGCTAATATTTCTGAGAACTTTGTTACTAAGACATTTAATAATGTTAGTTAATTGCTTTAGGTGCTGAGGGCCCTCCAGTTGTTCTCCAATTTTATCGATAACTGCAGGTTTATTGAGGTCCTCACGATAATTGTGGATATAAACGTACCATAGGTTCGTGTTAAGATTCCTGAGATTTTTTTTTCTATGACATCAAATAATATTAATAATTTTTTAAGTGGAGAAAGATAGATATGAGTGTATTATATGGCATTCATAATATTCCTTAGAACTTTGTTTTGAAGTCATTTATGAAAAAAAATGTTTTAGGTGGTCCATGATGCTTTAAGGTATATTACCTTAATAACTCTAAGTTTTGTATTATAAGTATATATTTATATGTTAATTTATTTTTATTTAGTTTAGTATTGGGAATGGTCTTCCATTTATCCTTCAATTTCATCAGCAACTACTGGGATATTGAGGTTCAGAAGATTATTGAGGTTAATCCTGACAAATTCGCTTTGAAGTCAATAAATTATGTTAATATTGAGATATAATGTTGATACTGGGATATTGAAATTCAGAAGATTATTGAGGTTAATTCTGAGAAATTCGCTTTGAAGTCTATAAATTATGTTGATATTGCTTATGTGGATATAGATAGTGAAGAATACTTTAAGGTATATTACTTTAAAGGCTTGATTTAGTATTATAAGTATATATTTATATTTTATTTTTATTAAGCTTTTATTGCTATTTCATTTGGTTATGTTGTTTTATAGTATTTCGTATTTTTTTATATAATATTATATTTTAAAAAAATTTTGAAAAATATTAATTTAATTTTTAACTATGCTAGCATAAATTCTTTTGAAAAAATTTTATCTCTTTGCCATCATCGGTTATGAACTCAACCGTAAACCTAAATTACCAATATGGATGCAAATTTTTATAATGCTTTCAGCCAAAATATTAGAATGGCAAAGATAGTTGGACAAAATATGAAATTTCACGTTAAGCCACAGAGTTCGTTTCAAAGAGAAATGCAGAGAGAGATTAGGCCAGCCCATATGACTACTGGCAAAATACGAATATTCGTTAGTTGGAAAAACTAAAAAGCCAAATGGATTCTTTTTTTCTACTTTAACCACAAAAATTTTTAGAGAAAAAAAGCTACAAAGCTCACAAAAAAAAGGAAAAAACGAGGATAACAAAAATGAAAATCGCTTTCAGTCAAAATCCATTGAATGCGCAAAATGCGCTGACGTGAGACGAAATTGAAATAAATTGTTATGGTTCATAAAAATCGTTGTGCATATTGCAGTCCCCGTCCATGCAGTCGGGACTTCATGCTGCCTTTTTTGTGGCTCAGAGCCTTAAGGTGGTCGAAAATGAGCCAAACATAGTCAAATAAAAGCCAGACAACTTAACAGTTCTTTTGTTCCGAAAAGTTTGTTGCAATTCGCCAATGTAAAAAGTTTATTGAATTTAACTTAATTTATTTTGAATGAAAAACGAACTTTATTTGAATTGTTATTTGAATTTTTATCTGCACTTTTATTTGCACTTTTATATGCAAAAGTTTATTAAATTTTCTTAAGTACCACATTCATTGTGGTGAGGGGGCATCCAAAATTACTCTACAGTTTATTTACATACAAATTGTTTATAAATTAACTTCTTTCTTTGAAATGTTGCTAAAATTATTGCTCCACTTTATTTCATCTTGTGAACATCTGCTATAAATTTCGCGAAGTAAAAAAACAATCAAAACAGATCTACATAAATAAATGAGGAGGGAAGCAAAGATTAAGGAACCTGGCATTCAAGGAACGGAACGCAACGCAAACAGACACTAAAGCTGCCAGATTCATCACCACGTACGCGATACATTTACGCTCCAACAGTAATTGTAGTGCATATTCTCACAGAGGCGAAATTAAGAAAACATTAATTGGAATAATCTACAGCCAGCATTAGTGACTTTAAAATTCATATTATTATTCTTTAATCTAAAACATTAAGATATTTTTGAACCCTCTAATTTTCGTTTGAAATCCATTTGAATGGCTTATTGTAAATAGGAATGTAAGTCACTTGTTACCAATTTTTGGAAAATTAAAGGAAAACTGTTTCTCATGAATATATATTATGATCTGTAGTTCAACAGGTCAGTAGAACCTTGATAATTCTGGTAGGGTCATATTAACCATGACCACACACAATAAGCTGTGTGTAATGTTTAATATGTCACGCTAACCCAAAATATTTTTAAGAAAAATTTTATTTTCGTTTATTTTAGAATAATCCACTAAAATTAAAGTCAATCAGGATAATTAAGATATAGATTCGTGCATACTACTTAACTCATAAAGACCATTGAAAAGGATTCAGATTAACAAATCAGTCTACCATCCGGACTACCAGGTATTTTAGTGCATTTTCTTATTTTGTCTGCATTACGAGTTATTCCAATTTAACGAACATTCGGACTAGTGGAAATCTGCTGTATTTTAATGATTTATATATTTTGAGTACATAATCATTTATATATAAGAAAACCAATATTTCTTATACAAACAATATATTCCTCGATGATTGAATTACTTCTCAAATAGAAGTCACCTTCCGACTGTAGTTCCCCAAAACTTCCATGAGGCATCATCAAACGAAACAAAATTCAGTTAGTGTTAGTCAGTGTTGCTTCCAAGTTATTGTTTTTATGCGGTTTCACATTTTTATTATTCGTTTTTTCTTCTTTTCTTCTTTTCTCGTTTTATGACCAAAATAACAGCGAAACGCCGCTGTTCTCGACTGTTATGTCAATAAAGCTTTACTCTGGCCTCCTCGTATCTTAGGTTTGAAAACAAATGCCGCACATTTCACGGGTTGTTGCAATTTTTTTTATTTTTTAGAACATCTTCCCTTGTTTGCGAAAAATAAGAATAACTGCTTTACTTCTGACGTCCCCTTCATGTTTCTCGTTTCTCGTTTTATGGTCTCCCTATAACAAAATTGAAGTGAATTGGTGCTGATTGATAACACTACGGGCGGTCTTCTCTTTCATATGCGATGTTTACAATGATATATGTGGTGCAAATATATAATTTGTAAATAAGATGAGTTATTTCCACGAAGAATAAATAAATTTTTAAATTTATTGTTTCCTTCTTGTACAAATACACGAAATTTATAGCTCAAAAAAAGCATTTGTTCCAGTTATTAAATAAATAATTAAATTATTTTTTATTGTTTTTACAAGACGATATATAATTTAAAAAAAAAATTAAAAAAAAAGGTCACTGATTAGCATAGCTTAGATAAGAACTGGAGTTTTGAATGACGATATAATAAAATATGCTCTAAATGCTTATTTTGTATACATACCTAGATATATATTATATACTTTAGGTAATACATATATAATCTTAGGTTAATTAAACTGTTTGTAACATAGAAAATAGGACGTTAGAAATTATATATGTATATACTATGCAGTCGTATTCTTAATAAGCTTATGAGACGTACTAACATCAGTATATAAAAATATATATTCTACTAACATAGAATATAGGATGTAAATATATACATATTAGTATATTAAGAATATATTAATAAGCTTATTAGACGTACTAACATCAGTATATTATTCATATACGCATGTAGCTATCTGTCGTCTTATCTATTCTCCTGCCTATCACATGCTTGGTATGTACAATTTTTTTTTTTAATCCGAAATTTATTTAGAATGAATTTATTTCTTTTAATTATTCATTTATATTTAGTCCAAAACTCTTCGTACTATCAAAAGTGCAAACTGGTATATCCCAAATTAAGACATACGTAATGTAATAAGACCTTACCAATAGTACAGTAGTCGCTGTTATGAAAAAATTAATTATAAAGCCATCAGAGAAATTCTGGTTACAGAAAGAATGCTACGAAAAAGATTAAAGGGTAGGTGTATAACCTGTAGTGCTGCGAAAAAGTTATGTATAACGTCACTTTATAAAATCTCAGACACTGATTTAATTTTTCTTATATTTCCAAATTGCCTCTCAAATAGTATATGTAAAAAACACCATAAAATTTGAAACCCGGTTTCTACCACTTATTATTTTATAATTAAAAATGATAAACTTGAGTTTTAAGTTTAATTTTAGAAACAACACATAATTGACAGTTATAGAAGTGAACACAAAAAGTGAATTATAAAGATTTTCAAAGCCCATTAATGATGGATACTTGGCAATAACTTAAGCATGTTATGCAGAAAGTCATGAGAACGTCAAAATCAAATGCAAATTTAAAAATTGAGATTGAGAGAGAAAAACAAAATGTCGGTCATGGAGGACGAGACCATATGTGTTCAGACACGTGGTCAAAACAGTGTTACTCAGTCATAAATGCTAAAATCAATTGTGACGCGCCCATGATTTTCTGCATAACATAAGCCGTATAGCCAGCCTTAAGGATTTACTTAGAAAAGGTACTTAATTTTTTAATTAAAATTTTGTAACTTTGAAAATGCAGTAAGAACATGTGTAAAAATGTAAGTTCTGTAAATAGATTGTCCATTTATATTAGAAATATTTCTTCTTATTCTCTTATAAACAAATCACTTCAAGCATATATATAATTTTTTACTTTTTTTTACACATACTGATGATATGTAATCCTTCAATAATCGAATATAAATTAATTATTTAAATAAAATTAAACTGAATGAGAATTGAATTAGAAACTTACATGCAATTTGTAGGGTTGCATGCCGGCTGACAGCCTTGCCCACATGGTTCTTTGCAACGCACCAATAAACGCCGCTGTCCTGTTCCTTTTTGCTTTGCATCGTGCGATAGAAGAACAAGGCGCCATCCTTGAAAAGTACACGATGAGATTTTTTCTCATTTGTATTCACAGGTTCACCGTCCTGTAAGTTAAATTTAAGATAAAAAAATGAATTGAATAAATTAAATTAAATTTAAATTTGTGTATAGTTTACAAATTTTTTTTGCAGTGCATAATTTATAAAGTTAAGCGCCCACAGGTGTAATTAAAATAAATAAAGTTAATTGCAGAAAAAATGCTGACATTTTTTATATTTAAAACTTTTGTCAACATTTTTATTTTACACCTGCGAAATTGTTTGCATTTTTCATTAATTTGGACTAACCAAATATATATATACATGATATATAAATATATATTTTTTTATATACAAGTAAGTATTTATACAAAGGGAAAATAGTTTTTTATTTGCTCATAGCGGCTAGTTGCTCTTAATCCTCCTGCCATTTCGTTTATTAGTGATATTTTTCAAAATATATATATATATATATATATATATTTATATTCTGTATTTTGAGTTTTGGGGTTTTATTTTGTATACACAAAGGAGTTTGAAAAATAAATTAATTGATATTGCAAACGTTGACTCGGTGAGCCGCAATTTTATGATTTTAATCACTTGCAAAAATATTATAGGAAATTTAAATGAAATTTATATAAAAATATAGTATATATAAAAATTTTAGATTTTTTTTAAATAAAATATTATCCACTATTATTTTATTAAAAGAATAAAATAATATGTATTCCTATTGCTATAGGAAAAGGCATGTGGAAAGCAGGATACTCGGAACATTGAATAAATGTGTATTAGAAAAGAAGTGGAAGGCTGACGTTACTTTAATTAAAATATTTTGTATATATGTATCAAAGTTTTGGTGTCTATATAAACAGATTCATTTCAGCAAGCTTTTCATAAATTGATCTAACAGATTACTTAAAACATAACATAGATAGGTACCAAATGAGTTTGCTTTTGCAATATCCTAGTAAGCAAGTTGGGCATAATGCATTCCTGAAAATATTACTAATCACTCTTTTCACTCACTTTTCACTTCACTCTTTTCATCACCCCCAACTACAAATACCACAGTGTGACCTCAGTCAAAAGATTATATCGTATAACCTCTCTGTTATTAGCATAAAGTAAGCCACTTCAGTTAATAATTTTAATCTTCTCTCCTCGCCACGGTTATCGGTCAATGTTAAGAATCCTACGCTATACTAACACAAATGAACATTATAAAGCTTACGTTACTTTTATGAAAATATAATGTATATATCAAAGTTTTGATGTCCATTTACACAGATTCGTTCCAACAAATCTTTGATAAACTTTCTAACAATTTACTCAATACATAATATAGATTAGGTGCGATATGTAATGATTTTGCCTTTGCAATGTTATAGTCAGCAGGTTAGGCATGATTTATCTCTAGAAATATACCCAATCCACTCTTTCCTTCTAATTACAATATTTTCCAATCTGAATCTCTTTTCAATTACAATCACTGTTTTTATGACACCAGTCGCAAATCTATAACCTCTATGTGAATGTCATAAGTAAACCGCTAATGTTCACCATTTTGATCATCTCTCTACTCCAACGGTCATCGAGGTTTGATTTGATAAAATATATATTTCTACTGAAATTATGCCTGTGCATTTCTGAAAGATGGTTTTATACTCTCATACATGTGAGAGATATTTAATAATGTTCGGTATGATTAGCCAAAAAAAATAGACTTACTTAAAAATTAATTTTTCTAACTAAATTTCCATACTGTTATCACGTTTTCGATTTGATTGATATATTGTCATGGATATAAATATTTTAATAATAATTTCTAAAAAATTGTTTGGATCCAAATATACTAGTAACGATAAATTCAATTTCCAAACTAATGCCTATATCTAACTTCTTCAGTGTATACGCAGAGAGTCGGTTATGTTTGGTTATTTTACTAGTACGTCAAGCTATTCAATTCAGACCCTACGAGTTAATTATCATACCAGTTCCTAACCCGGGATAAGGTCCTGATTGTTGATTATGAAACAGAGTTGTGAAGTGAAGTGAAGAAGGAATAAATACACTAGAAAGTTTTTAGCTGTGTGTTTTGCAACCCATTATTCTATTTTTATTAGTTTATTTTTAAAATTGTAACAGTACGAGCTTTTTTCTTTTTAACAGAATTAAAAGTCTAGTGATAATGAACTGTATTTCCATCTAGCGTAGGAATTTTTTATGCAATCTTCAGTAGGTGTAAGATTATATGTTATAAGAAGTCTTAAATACAGTGTATACATTTAACAGTTTTCATATAATAAAATGCAAATTTTATAAATCATTGAGATAGATGCAAACTTTTCAGGTTACCCAACGTAAATTAGGTATAATTTTTTTTTGAAATAATGTAATTTTTCTTTTTCGCAGTTGAGAGTGGCAGCTAACAAACACTCCTCCTACTCATCCTTCTCCATACATTCACCAATTTCCATTTTCATAAGAGCACGCAAGCATATAAATGTACTTCATATATACAAGCCATCAACCAATTTTTTACATAAAAATAGCACACTTTTTGGCGCACTTGCTTACGTATAACTTTTTTTATAGCATATATATACATATATTTGTATTTATATATAAACAAATATGTGTGGAAATATATTTGTATATGTAAACTATAAAAAATAAAATAAGTAAAGAAAAAATCTTACCTTAAACCATTCAATTGTTGGCGCCGGTTTGCCTTCAACTTTGCAATTCAGTGTGGCAGGTTCATTCTTTTTCACTACTAAATCTGTCGGGTGCTCGATTATACGTGGTGATTGATATTGAGCTGAAAAATGTAAAATGGATAAGAAAAAAAATTAGAATCATTTTAGCAACAAATAAATGGATGTGTGCAAAATTTGTTACAAAGTTTGAAAAGGGTTAAAGCCATACACGAACAACAAACACAATGTGCTATGGAAAGTGGAGCGTACTGAACAATAAGGAAGATTGATATATTTTTTGGGATTTATTTTTATATGGCAGGATTTGAAGTTTTCTTTATCGTTTTGGAAAAAGGATTTTATTTGGAAAACGTGTTTGCGTAGAGCGTATATTTCGACATTGTTCTTGTCCTCCTTACTTTTTTACTGTTTATTTTAAAAATGGTGTTGAAGTTATTTATTGCTAAAGTTTATGCAGCTTAACTGAGTTGTCTATAAACTATTTTGTATTGCAATTTGAATATATATAAAAAAAAGAGATGGTTGTGTCACAAAAGCAGCTGAAATATTTATTTAAATGTTACATATTGGATGTGACATTCATGTGAGTTACCAAATAGTACAAAATTTTAGAAAAAATATTTTTATAGTACATTGTTTTTTTACTAGACGCTAAAAACGCTAAATTTTTTATAAGGATTTTTCGTTTTTGTTCAAGTTTAATGGCATTATTTATAGGCACTACGTTTCTATAGATAAATATTCTATAAACAATTATTTTTATATGCTTAGAAATATATAAAGTTTTTATAGGTAAAATACAAATAAAAAGAGATTTTAAATACAATGAAATTTTTTTGCAAACGCGTTTTTCTAATAATGTCTCCAATTATTTTTTTCATATCATATATTTATATATATTATTTTTATATATAAACTGTATAAATCAGTTTTCTATTTAGACAAAATCGTTTCATCTTTAAAAGAACCTATACAGAAATTTATTTCTGCCACTTACATATATATATGGACATATGATCATTTTTTGGTGCAAGCAGAGAAGAATTGATCTAGCAAGTTACTTCAAACAGCCGGATCAAGATGAAAATAACATACACACTTAATATACATCCTTTTTTTACGTGATTTCCTGCCATCGATGGCTTAACACCACGGTGCTCTTAACACACGTATTAATTTAAGCGTCAATCAACGTCAATTCCGCCGGTACCAATGAAGAAATTCATGCAAGTTATAACTTCCATCTTGGTAAGATGCGAGGCCTACCAACTACCTCCGCTGATCTTTGGGTCACAGCACCCGGTTTGAAATACATACCACGGCGAATGAATGACAAGCAAAACATTCTTTCCGCGTGACTTTGGGTATTAACCACAACCATTTCGAGTCCAACGCCAATGGTCAGCACAGCCGAAGCTGTAGGGCCACTGACCCCCGAAGTACCAGATAGTATCATCTCTGGTCAAATGTCGCAAGTTGCCGCCCACAACTCACTACCATTTACACTTCTTGCATAAGTGTGACACTGGCACTGGGGGATATTAGTCGCCTCTTACGATAGGCCATCCTAACCGCGGGAGTATTCTTTTCCCCTCTCCGCAGGGAAACACACTTAATATCTAGAACTTTTGACTGAAATCCAGAAATAATATAAAAATGCCTGTATGTATAGCCATATTAAGAACAAGGATAAAATTTTCCTAAGCCAGGAACCCCATTCCTTACAGGGAGTAATAAATGAAAATGAAAAGGAACCGACTCTACTTCCACTTCATCTATTTACTATCTGCACGCCTATTATTACTGTACGATTTAACAATACACAGTTTACTGAACCGAGCAACGTAATGATACACAGACATATGCCGTACAGCTCCAACCTACAATATAATCCCTTCTTCGATATACATTGATTTATTTAAAATCAAAAGTTACAACCCCGACCAATTTTTTATATTCTTTTTTAATAAAGTCCAAAATATTCTGCTTCAGGTTTTACTTTATAACCAATAGCATTATGCCTCAGATTGAAGAGACTCTTATGGGTCTAATTTCAACTTCCATCAATTTTATATTTCTATTTTGATAATGATTAAGATATTCTTTTTTAGGATTCGCTCTACAACTGATCTTATTAGGAAGCATAATCACAGAATATATATTTGCAGCTACTCGAGGTTCTTCATCAGACACTACTCGAGATCTTTCTATTGTTTCTCTCTGCTTTGTGGCTTTAGTTAAAGGATTTTATCTTTACATAGCTAATATTAGCTCATTTCAGCTCTCATTTTTTGAAATAAAAAATAGTTTTTTATATGTTACTCTGTGTTCAATTGGGTTTGCTTGGATAGGAATGCGATATATTCTCAGGACATACTACAGTATTGGTTCGCATTATTCTTTATACTTTCATAAACGACAATAGTTTTAAGTAATGTTTATTGTAACTTACAGAACTGCAGCATACTACGAACCTTAGATACTATAACTCACATGTAACATATACATACTAAAGCTTCAGCAAAGCTAATTAGGACTGGTTTTGAAATTTTTTCTAATTTTGAATTCATTTAATATGTAAATCATAATCATGGTAACATCTTTTTTGTTCTTGTTTACTAATTAACAACAAAAAGAATTAATTAGATTTGAATGTACAATTATCTGACTTTAAACCAGCACGCATACTGGAATGCTGAAATGGATGATACACGTATATATCCAAAAGTGTCACCATGCCAAAGTTTTGTTTCGTTTTTTGGAATAGAAATGTTATCCTGCACAAGTTGATCATTAAAACCGTTAAAGGATGTCTTCCGTTGGAGTCAAATGATGATGGTGAAACTTAAAAAAAGTAGCAAAAAATGCAGTATGCAATAATAGCAACATCAGCAGTAGTTCAGAACAAACAACGAAGACATTAAGAACGAAGTCAACAGTGCAAAAGACCAAAACAAACTAAAGTCAACGAAGCCAAATGCAAATGATAACTCCTAACCAGTGCTGGTTTGGTTAGGAATACGAGGACATACATCAATGGGCTAAACCATGCACGGGTATAAACACTTGCAAGTGCTCGTATCTGGGCGCAATTCAGTGTCTGTGCTGCTGCTGTCTCAGCAATAGTAGCACAAATATTGCAACGACAAGAGCAGCAACAAGCAAACAAAATATTCCTACATCAGCAACAACAACAAAAATATCAGCAATAAAAACATTGCCATTGCTCATTGCCAAGGCTAATAACACGCATTTTATAACTTGGTTAGCTGCAAATGTGCATAAAAAGTCAAAGTCGCTGCGTAGACACTGTGGTTGCCAGAGTCAGTGTGTAGATGCAATGAAAGAGTTGCCACCATTGCAGATAAGAAGAATTTTCAAACATTTGCATTTATGTTTTCCACATGTTGTGGAAGCCAAATTTATAGCAAAAAGGCATATTAAGAAAATTAAATAATTTAATAGTTTGCATTTTTTTTTGTTAATTTAATGGAAATGATTTAAGTATCTGTATCTCATGTTAATGTTGTTAGATTGAGTGTGGCCTCATATCAAGATATTCCATTTAACATATGAATACTTTAAAGTTAATCAGTATGTCCGGTGAGTTATATTATAGTATGTATCTCATGAATGTAGTGTTTATCAGATTTGAAAAAGGAAGTACATATATATTAATATTAATATTTTTATGAGTATCATGAGGAAACTAGCTTATTATATTACTTACAGAAAAACTATTAAGTTAGAAAAGTTATTTACTCTTTAAGTGTTTGTCAAATTGAATTCAAGATAGGAAAAATGATTTGCTTACATTTAATTGTTTTCATTTTTTATAAATTATTTTTAATATTTTAAATTAACAATTTACTTTTCAATATATGAACAAAAAGCAGAGATGGATTTATTTATGTGTCTTATTTACATATTTCTTCTTTGTTCTAGCACTCAAAAAAGGTGATAAACACTACTAACTCAAAAGTGACATTTAACTCAATTTCTTCTAAATATTTTGGATCATTTTCGGTATTAAGGGAAAGTTGGAAGTGTCGCTAGCTTAGAAGTTCCTTTCTTTTATATAAATATATCTGTTCTTTAAAAATCACTATATTCATAGCTAATTAAATTAAAATGTATATAGCTCAATGCCGTGTATATAATCGGTGATATCTGAATCAAAATTTTTTACTTGGAACCCTTTTGTTTCTATTAATTGTTATCTGTTCTCTTGCCTGTTAAATTTACAAATAGATAAAAATTTAGGTATAATGGTTTTTTATATAAATGTTTAATCTTGCTGTAGGTCCTTTTTTGTTTAACCATTAAACGTTCAATATTTCTTATTATACTCTACATTTCGACACCCCTTGAGAGTCATCATAAGGATTACGATACCTCGTTCTCTTTATTCTATCGTCTATATCAGTACATATATATATATATATATGTGTATATATATATCAGTAATCACGCAGAGAAACTGCGTATTCCCCATAACTCTCACTGCAAAAGTTGTAGAAACCCGCAGGAGAAAGAAACAATAATACATTTTCTCTGTGAATGCCCGGCTCTAGCATCCAGAAGATATAGGTTGTTAGGAAAATAATTTTGTGATAGTTTATCAGACTGCTCAATGGTGAAGATGAAAGACCTATTAAATTACCTAAATTCAGTAGGATGGATTTAGTCTCTACTCTTCTATACTAGGGTTCTTGCAAGGAATGTGGTAACAAAACGGCGAAAAATCGATAATTCAGATACATTTGAAGTTATCTTATGACCTGCCACTGCAACCAACCAACCAACCATATCAGTACAATATAAACAATACATTACAGGTACACTTTTAAACCAAATATCATACTAAACAGTGAATACAATAATTTTCTAAGAGTTACTTGTAGACTTTTACTGATTCACAAACTAATTTGATTTAGCACTTAAAACAGATGGACAGATGAAAACAGATTAAAAAGTGTTACGTAGGTAGTTTATACCGGTGATCCCAAGGAATTCATTTAGGTCTAAAAGCCCAATGTGTTGTCGAATATAGAAAAACACAGAGATTGAAAACTACTTTGGCAAAGCCTATAAGGCTATT